CACGCGTGGGTCACCTATGCCTTTGCACTCTTCGAGCTGCTCACGGGCTCTCGAGAGCACGCCGCGACGCTCGACGCGCTGTGCGGATGGCTCGCTGCCCGTTATGACAACTCGACAGATAAGGAGTGCTTTGTCGGAGGCGCCAACGTCGCGTGGTGCTCAACGGAACACCACATCGACATTTACTTCGCGCTTTCGCTCTCGGCGTGGCTACGCCGCTCAGACGCCCTCGACTCGCTCGCCCGCGCGGCGGCGGCGGCACTTGTCGGGCCGCTCTGGCACGCCGGGGAGGCACGCTTCAACCAAGGCCTCGGCGACAGTTCCTCGGCGCTTGACTGCCAGACGTGGGGAGCGCTCTTCCTCCTGGGCCACAATGCCACCACAGGCGCCGCTGCCGCCATGCCCGCCTCTGAACGGGGCGAGCGCGCCGCGAGCGCGCTCGCATACATGCACAGCACCTTCTACGCCAAGCAGCAGGCCCCAGCGACCGGCCGCCTCGCGCGTGGATACGCGCCATACGAGGCGCCCCCTGGCCAGACGAAAGCCGTGTGGGGCGAAGGCAGCTACGGTGCAGTGCTCGCATTCGAGCGATCCGCTGGCCACGAAGCTGCGGAGGCCGACCTCCTAGCGGGTGTAGCGCCGCTGTCGCTTGCCAGTGGCGCGGTGCTGTACGCGGCCAACGAGACGGTCGTCAACGGAGAGGGTGCCACCTTCTTCGACTGGCCGTCGGTCGCTTCCACCGCTTGGCGCGTGCTCGCCTCGGCGCCGTTCGCATCTATCTTCTGGAACGAAAGCGCTTACGCAGAGGTGAATGGAACGGGAATGCCAACGTACACCGCTGCGCCCACCGCCCAACCGCCGCCGCCGTCGCTGTCGCCCTCACCGCCTCCCGCGCCGCCGCCTCCGGTGCCGCCGCCGCCTGCCCCTCCGTCGCTGTCGCCCTCGCCGCCTCCCTCGACATCGCCGTCGCCGCCGCCTCCTGTGACATCTTCCTGTCCCGACATCTGCAAAGGCGTCTATGATTGGTGTAAAGCCTGCCTTTGGAAACGGGCAGGAGAACAATTTTGGTCCTGCAAACAATATGAACAGAGCATATGTGAAAATTGGAATGGCGATACTTCGGGTGGCGCCCCTCAGTTGACCACTGCGTATTGTGGAGCATGCCCTTGAGCATGATCCGGTGAGGAGGTTCTGACTCTGGGCTTCTTCTTTTGCTCCTTCCCCGTCTCTATCTCTCCTCAACCTCGCTGAGAACCTCCATCGAAGCAGAAACTTCTCTCTGCGATCATCTCACTTCTCAACGCTTTACGAGCATGAGCATCTATTTCATCGAAGGGGAATTTTGAGAATTTATTAACTCTTCTATTGTAAAGAATTCGCTTCGAGTTTTTTTGCAGGAAATGCTGAGAACGAGGAGTCAGAGCTAAATGGATCTTTGTCCTGGTTTCTCTGCCGGATTTTGCTCTCGAGCTGTGCGAAGGTAGGGCCGGGCTTGACGTGAGAGAGGTCTTTTTGTCCGAGAAGGAGGAGAGCTTTAGCCATTGTTCGGTAGAGCGTGTCTAAGATTCTCCAGAGATTTGCAGCGAACTTTTCCAAAAACACTTCGTGTTTATCTTTTATGAAAGATGATGTTTGTCAGGGTGCTCTGCTATGAAGTAAGAATGAGCTTTAGGGGATTCTCGGCGCAAAGGCGAAAATGGCCAGCAAAGTGATGGCAATGGTGTAAAAATGAAAAGTAATAAATCGAGTATCGAGCTTTCGTGGTTGCTTCGACATGGGGCTCTCGAATCCAATTGAAGATGGACCCTGCTGGTTGGGATGTTAATGAAGTCAAAAGATTTTAAAGTTATCAGAGGCGAAGCTCCAAGAGCTTATCAACAACAATAACAAAACCCTTTTCAGTTGCGAGATGGTCTTATCCGAGCCAGTCAAGGGCATTCCCTATCAGGGACGCCGGTTACGCTGTCTGGCCTCATGGGAAAAGATCGAGCCAGACAAGCTGCTGTGGCATGGAACCGCTGTCTCAGCGGTGGAGGGGATCGCATCGAAAGGTCTGTCCAGACAGGCTTCGGGGTCAGGGGATCGAAGTCTTTCGAAGCCCCAATGGTGTCATCCTGGTTCGAGAGATCCCTGCTTGCTTCCGTTGAGTAAGAAAGCGAGAGCGTCTATACAGGAGCTTTCTCAGCATTTTCAACTCGAAGTTTGATAGGAGTATCGTGAGGATTGAGGTCACAGTGTTTCAGCTCTTTTCATTGACACCATGACAGACCCCGGTTCGCTCTGTTTGTGCCACATAAGCAGCTTGGTTATTGTCGAGACTTTAAAGGATTCGTTTGAAGAAACGCAAACAGGCCACCAGTTGACTCTAGAAGCCCCAATTGTCTGTAGCATTGCTGAATATCCACACTTTTCACCACTGGGTCGCGCCCTCGCCCCTACACCTTTGAGAAGTAGACTCCTGATTGTCGTCCACCTTGCCTCCGCCCCACTCTCCGCAGTAGTAATCCCCGCCCTAGCCAAGTCGAATAGCATGTGATTGCGTCCACTGTGATCCTCATCCCGTAGCTTTTCCTGAATCATCTCTCTTGCCCACAGCATCTGGAGTCGCTTAGCCACCTCTGAGAACACCTTTCCTCCTATCGCAAGTGAGCTGAGTGTGTCCTGACCCCCTCTATCCACCCGACCGTAGTCCGTGACTCCCATCATAGTTGCGATCGAGCGTCGCACAAGCATTTCTGGCTCCCTCGGGACCCCTTCCGCCGCCCACTTCGCCACTGCATCCACCATCGCCACAGCCGAGATTCCCCCAACACCCTTAGCATGTCCTGGCACCTGACAGATGATAACCAAACCTCTGACCGACTTCCACAATTCCCACCTCAAGTTGTTGATTGTCTCGAGAAGATCACCATCCTGCTCCCCAACTAGCCAACAATCATCCCTGCTCCTCCATGCCTTCTCCATCCCTTTGACGCAGGTCTCACTGTCCACCATCGCAAAGACTACCCACTCACCACGAATCTTGTGACTTATACCGTTACTCCGAGCTTCCCTTATTCTCTCCAGTATTCCCCGAAGCCCAAGAGTCATCGCACTGAGCTCGCTCGCGCTCGTCGTCGCCCCTCGGTCAAGCCCATGCCCAATCCTTCCCACATCCGTCCACCCTAGACGAGGCGCTGCCCCGATTACCGCTCCGCATCCTGCCTTGCTCGCGCGCTCTGGTCGCCCTTCACACGGACTCACGGATCCATCAGTCGAGAGCATCACACCAACCTCCATAACTGCATTGACTTTCATCGCCACTTCCAAGACCGCCCTGTCCGCCTCCGCTGTTATTCCATCCCGTTCCCCCTTCTCCATCACTAAGGTCTCCACTCCACCTCCCACCCGGAAGGCACATCCACTCTCCATCAACTCCACGCTCTTCCTCCGACAAAACACGGATAGCATAGGGTGGCACACCGCATTCGCACTGAAGTTGTACTCGTTGGCCGTTGAGTCTGTTTCCACTCTCCATGCCCTCACTCCAGCCACTCCTCCGATGCCCACGTGACAGTGATGCCTTCCTCTCGCCTCCAGCTTGCACCCGCTCTTCTGCTCGAACTCTCTCCTCAGGTCCTCCACCACCTCTGAGGGGAATAGCCCTCCGGCTAGCTTTTCCCACTGCCTCTCCGGGGTAGTATCCTCTGGCACCACGGCAAACTTCCAGAAGAAATTCCCGGATCGATCTACTTTCACAAAGTATAAGTCCCATCGAGCAGCAATCACTTCGAGATGCGAGCATCCCACTTCGTACCTGAATCCACCGTACGCGTTGCAGCACGGTTTTTGTCCTCCAGCAACAGCCTGTATCCACAGACAAGCCATCGAGACCCCAGACTTCGCATCCGCTGTTGTCCGAAGCCGCACCTCCTCGCCCAAGTCTGTTCTCGTCAAATGCAGCAGCACTGTATCTGTCGCATCCTTCCCCCTCCATAGATCGTCTCCTACCCACCTCACCATGCTCCCCACAGGAACACCCCCCCACGCATCACATCGCTCGTTGTCCGCCTCCACCGCCTCCTCCTTTGAGATCACATCAAACACCTTCCTCCCTCCCTCATAGTCCTGGATCGTACTCGCCGCAGAAACTACATGTCTTCTCTCATCGTCCCTGCTTCCCAGCAGTGCAGTCTGCACCTTCGGCGCCTCCTCCCTTCGTCTAGAGACCCTGTCGACATCCTCAACGCATCTCCCCACATTCCATTCCACCGGTTGTAGCCCGGATCGCAACCCCGGTATCCACACCTCTGTGAACCATTTGAAGAAGGCTCCTACCACCTGTTCCTTCGTTTCCACATCAGCATCATCAATCGGCTTTCGCAGACGTTGAAAGATGTCGTCACCAAATCGCGAGCCTCAATGTCCAACCTGTCAGGTAGAAGACACGACTCCTCCGCTCTCATCATGGCTCTCCTGACTCGCAAAAGTTCAGCCTCCCAGGCCATCTGGATCCCCTCCTCGTCGTACTCGTCTAGCTCCATCCACTTGAACGCCTCGCTCTCTACCTCGCTCCGCTCCAACCACCGTCCCTCCTCTGGCTGATAGAACATGTCCCGCTCTGTTCTGACCAAGTATCTCATGGTCCTCGCGTGGTCCTCCACCCCTCGAGGTGACTCCAGCCTGCATGCTCGCACGTCAAACACTCTCCTCCCCGCCTTTCCTCCCATTACCTTGCTCCTCCTCAGCTCCTCCCCCAACTCTCTCCCCTCCTTCCCCCACCTCGTCCACGTAGTACTGATGTCGACGCAACGAGAGGCTTCCATCACTAGTCGATCCCACTCCTCATGATCAGCTCTTGTGAAGTCCACCTCACCACATCCGAAGCAGACCTCGGCCTCTCCACTCGTTAAGAGCTCTCTCTCTCTCTCCAACGCGGCCAAAGGATATCCACCTCGAGAACCTCGAGAGAGTGGAAGCCGCCGGTTGCGTATTTTCTTGTCAATACCAAGGTCTGACCGAGCTTCTTGAACACGACAGACGCGCTCCGGCGGACGCCACTTCCTCTTAGTCAAGCAGAATGCGCCACCGCGAGTGGATCCACGTCCTCGCGGCGCTTGCCTTCCTCGTCGCGGCGCTAGCCTTCCTCGCGGCATCGGAGGAAGCCGCTTCGGAGGACCGCCTTCTCGACGAGGACCGAGAGCTGGACGCCCTCGCCGCTGAGATCTCAAAACTGCAGGCCAAGTACGCCGCGCTGCAGGACGGCGAGCGCGGCGGCGATCTCCTGGTAGCGGGCCAGTGGAGCGCCTCCAGAGGAGCGCCGGCTCTCCTCGCGCTCGCTGCGCTCGCCATGGTGCTCGGCCTGCCGTCGGGTGAGCAGTGGTGGGCGGTGGAGACCGCGCACCTGCATCGGCTGACGCTCGCGCTGAAAGTGCCTGCGCTCGAGGCCAAGTACACCTCCGCCGCCTTCCGCTCCGCCTCCACGCCGCTCATCCTCTTCCTCGTCACATTTGCGAATGTGCCGCTCTCCTCGCTTCCGCCTCCCTCTCCTCTCTCTCCTCGCTTCCGCCTCCCTCTCCTCGCTTCCGCCTCTCTTTCGCTGCTGCCTCTCTGTCCTCGCTTCCGCCTCTCTCCTCGCTTCCGCCTCTCTGTCCTCGCTTCCGCCTCTCTGTCCTCTCTGCCGCCTCTCTCCTCGCTTCCGCCTCTCTGTCCTCGCTTCGGCCTCTCTCCTCGCTGCCGCCTCTCTCTTTCCTGCCGCCTCTCCTCCATGCCGCCTCTCTCTCCTCGCTGCCGCCTCTCTCCTGCTGGTCGCGTCACGCCCCGCTGCCTGCGCACTCAGCCGCCCCCCCGCCCGCAGGGCCTTCCTGATCTCCCACAATCTCCCACAATCTCCCGCAATCTCCCGCAATCTCCCGCAATCTCCCGCAATCTCCCGCCCGCTCCGCAGGTGTTCCTCATGTTGGGCATCCTCTACCCAGCAGCGGGCGCCGCCCCTGCCCGTCGGCACGGGTGCCCGGGCCGGGTGCCGAGCCATCGCATGTGGAGTCACTAGGCGCCACCCTGCCCGGGAGATTGCGGGAGATCGCGGGAGAGTGCGGGAGATCGCGGGAGAGTGCGGGAGATCGCGGGAGAGTGTGGGAGATCGCGGGAGAGTGCGGGAGATCGCGGGAGATTGTGACTAGGCGCCGCCCTGCCCGCTAGCGGTACGGCTTGGGGGCTGGCGATGGCGGCCGTGCGCTGGCGGGCCGATCGCATGGCAGACCAGCAGGTCTAATTAACACGAATTAACACGAATTAACACGAATTAACACGAATTAACACGAGATCTCGGCAGACCAGCAGGTCCCCGCGCCAGCTAGTCGCGGCAGATCTCGGCTAGCCTCGGCTCATCTCGGCAGATCTCGGCTAGCCTCGGCTCCTCTCGGCAGATCTCGGCTAGCCTCGGCTCATCTCGGCAGATCTCGGCTAGCCTCGGCTCATCTCGGCAGATCTCGGCTAGCCTCGGCTCATCTCGGCAGATCTCGGTGCCTCGACCTCACGCGGTGCCTTGCACTTGGCAGCGCGCGCGCGTCCTCTTTGGTCGCGTGCTGAACGGGGTGAGCCTGGCGTGCTGGCTCGCGTGTCCTAGACGCTGGGAATACGGATGCATGTACCCCACCCCAGCACTCGGGGAGGACACGGACTCACCTGTCTTCACCTGCAGTCCGCTGTGCACTGGTTTCTTCTTGGACTCCAAATAGCGCTCGAGAGGACATGTAGTCCGCCGTATTCCGCTGCCTCTCCTCTCCGTTGTCCTCACGCGGCGCTCTGAAGACGCGCCAAGACCGCCCTCCCGCCCTCACGCCGGCGTACTCAGCACGGCAGGCTCGCCTTTCTTTGCGCGCTGCAGCTGTCCCTCGTCGGGCCGTCGCACCCGGCGCTGATCGGGGCGAGATGCAGCCGAGATGCAGCCGAGATGCAGCCGCGAGATGCAGCCGCGAGATGCAGCCGAGATGCAGCTGCGAGATGCAGCCGAGATGCAGCTGCGAGATGCAGCCGAGATGCAGCCGAGGTGCAGCCGAGGTGCAGCCGAGATGCAGCCGAGGTGCAGCCGAGGTGCAGCCGAGGTGCAGCCGAGGTGCAGCCGAGGTGCAGCCGAGGTGCAGCCGAGGTGCAGCCGAGGTGCAGCCGAGGTGCAGCCGAGGTGCAGCCGAGATGCAGCCGAGATGCAGCCGAGGTGCAGCTGCGAGATGCAGCCGAGGTGCAGCCGAGGTGCAGCCGAGGTGCAGCCGAGGTGCAGCCGAGGTGCAGCCGAGGTGCAGCCGAGGTGCAGCCGAGGTGCAGCCGAGGTGCAGCCGAGGTGCAGCCGAGATGCAGCCGAGGTGCAGCCGAGATGCAGCCGAGATACAGCCGAGATGCAGCCGAGATGCAGCCGAGATGCAGCCGAGATGCAGCCGAGATGCAGCTGCGAGATGCAGCCGAGGTGCAGCCGAGATGCAGCCGAGATGCAGCCGAGATGCAGCCGAGATGCAGCCGAGGTGCAGCCAAGGTGCAGCCGAGATGCAGCCAAGATGCAGCCGAGATGCAGCTGCGAGATGCAGCCGAGGTGCAGCCGAGGTGCAGCCGAGGTGCAGCCGAGATGCAGCCGAGGTGCAGCCGAGGTGCAGCCGAGGTGCAGCCGAGATGCAGCCAAGATGCAGCCGAGATGCAGCTGCGAGATGCAGCCGAGGTGCAGCCGAGGTGCAGCCGAGGTGCAGCCGAGGTGCAGCCGAGGTGCAGCCGAGGTGCAGCCGAGGTGCAGCCGAGGTGCAGCCGAGGTGCAGCCGAGGTGCAGCCGAGGTGCAGCCGAGGTGCAGCCGAGGTGCAGCCGAGGTGCAGCCGAGGTGCAGCCCAGGTGCAGCTGCGAGATGCAGCCGAGGTGCAGCCGAGATGCAGCCGAGATGCAGCTGCGAGATGCAGCTGCGAGATGCTGCCGAGGTGCTGCCGAGGTGCAGCCGAGGTGCAGCCGAGGTGCAGCCGAGGTGCAGCCGAGGTGCAGCCGAGGTGCAGCCGAGGTGCAGCCGAGGTGCAGCCGAGGTGCAGCCGAGGTGCAGCCGAGGTGCAGCCGAGGTGCAGCCGAGGTGCAGCCGAGGTGCAGCCGAGGTGCAGCCGAGGTGCAGCCGAGGTGCAGCCGAGGTGCAGCCGAGGTGCAGCCGAGGTGCAGCCGAGGTGCAGCCGAGGTGCAGCCGAGATGCAGCCGAGGTGCAGCCGAGGTGCAGCCGAGGTGCAGCCGAGGTGCAGCCGAGGTGCAGCCGAGGTGCAGCCGAGGTGCAGCCGAGGTGCAGCCGAGCTGCAGCCGAGCTGCTGCCGAGGTGCAGCCGAGGTGCAGCCGAGGTGCAGCCGAGATGCAGCCGAGGTGCAGCCGAGGTGCAGCCGAGGTGCAGCCGAGGTGCAGCCGAGGTGCAGCCGAGGTGCAGCCGAGGTGCAGCCGAGGTGCAGCCGAGGTGCAGCCGAGGTGCAGCCGAGGTGCAGCCGAGGTGCAGCCGAGGTGCAGCCGAGGTGCAGCCGAGGTGCAGCCGAGGTGCAGCCGAGGTGCAGCCGAGGTGCAGCCGAGGTGCAGCCGAGGTGCAGCCCAGGTGCAGCCGAGATGCAGCCGAGGTGCAGCCGAGAGATGCAGCCGAGGTGCAGCCGAGGTGCAGCCGAGGTGCAGCCGAGGTGCAGCCGAGGTGCAGCCGAGGTGCAGCCGAGGTGCAGCCGAGGTGCAGCCGAGGTGCAGCCGAGGTGCAGCCGAGGTGCAGCCGAGGTGCAGCCGAGGTGCAGCCGAGGTGCAGCCGAGGTGCAGCCGAGGTGCAGCCGAGGTGCAGCCGAGGTGCAGCCGAGGTGCAGCCGAGGTGCAGCCGAGGTGCAGCCGAGGTGCAGCCGAGGTGCAGCCGAGGTGCAGCCGAGGTGCAGCCGAGGTGCAGCCGAGGTGCAGCCGAGGTGCAGCCGAGGTGCAGCCGAGAGAAGCACTTGTTGCGCATTTCCCTGCGCAGTGCCCCACCGGCGCCTTCTCGGAGCCTCTGCCTCTCCCCTGCAGGCCGGGGGTGGTTGGGACCCTTCTTAGCCCAGCGTTGCGTTGCGCCTGGTGGCTGAGGGCGAGCTCTCTGTCAGGCGGGCTGCCTGATGATGGCCTTGTGGGGCTTCTACCTCCGCCGCTCCTCCATCACCGCCTCCTCCCGCCTCGTCTCTCTCGCCCTCAACGGCCTCGGCTTCGCCGCCTTGCCGGCCATGACGCCCCTCGGCCGCCCAGCGGAGCCTCTCTGCTTGGGAGGCGCGATCTCCCGCAATCTCCCGCAATCTCCCGCGATCTCCCGCAATCTCCCGCAATCTCCCGCATTCTCCCGCACTCTCCCGCGATCTCCCACGATCTCCCGCAATCTCCCACAACCTCCCGCGATCTCCCACGATCTCCCACAACCTCCCGCGATCTCCCGCACTCTCCCGCACTCTCCCGCGATCTCCTGCAATCTCCCGCGATCTCCCACACTCTCCCGCGATCGGTCGAGATTAGGCGCGCTGATGCTCGGCGAGGCGCTCGGCTACCTTCTCGAGCGGCGGATGCGCCTCGCCTTTCTGGGCCACGCCGCCGCCCCGCCGCCACCACCGCCGGCCGCCGCGTTCCGCTCCGCCGCCGTCTCTCTCTCCGAGCTGCAGGCGTGTGGGTGGTGGTGAGGGCGGGGATGGTGAGGGTGGGGGCGATGAGGGTGGTGGCGGCGAGGGAGGGGTGTGTGGGGGGGGGGGGGGGGGGGCTCTTCCTTCTCCTCTTCCTCCTCCTTTCCATCCTCCTCTCTCTCCCTCCCCCTCCCCTCCCACCGCTGCAGCCGTGGACGCTGCGGTTCGTCGACGCGACGCTCGAGGAGCGCTTCACGTCGGCAGCCTTCCAGGCGATCTCCCGCGACCTCCCGCAACCTCCCGCAACCTCCCGCAACCTCCGCAATCTCCCGCAACCTCCCACAACCTCCCGCGCTCTCCCGCGCTCTCCGACAGTCTCCTGCACTCTCCCGCCATCTCCCGCCATCTCCCGCCATCTCCCCCCATCTCCCGCCATCTCCCGCCATCTCCCCATCTCCCGCCATCTCCCGCCATCTCCCCATCTCCCGCCGTCTCCCGCCGTCTCCCGCCAGGCATCACGCAGGCCGTTCCTCGCCTTTTGGTGGGTGTGCATGGTGGTGGTGACGGCTCTCGGCGCACTCTGCCCGCGGCTGCAGTCCGCAATGGCCATCGTCCTCTCCGGCGTCGCGCCGCGGTGTTTCTTTTTTAACGGCCGCCGTGTTTCTTCTTTCAGGCCATCGTCTTCTCGGGCGTCGCCCTCTTCATCGCCGCACGGCTGTGGGCCGACCGGCGCCGAGATTCGCCCAGATTCGCCGAGATTCGCCGAGATCGCCGCACGGGTATGGGACGACCGGTATCTCTCCAGATCTCCCCAGATCTCGCCAGATCTCGCCAGATCTCGCCAGATCTCGCCCTAGAACACGCCGTCCTCCATTCCTACTGGCGCTCGAGAGGGCGCGCACTCCTCGCCACTCTCCCGCCGTATTCGGCGGTCTGCACGACACCGCCTCCCCCCGCCCTGACGCCGGTGAGCTGACCACGCAAGGCCAAACTCGGACCAGCAGCGCGCGCGCGTCCTCTTCGGCCGCGTCCTCCTCGCCGCCGTGGCCGCGACGTGGGGCGGCTCCCTCCTCATCTTCAACCTCTCGCCGCCCGAGGCCAGCCCCGCTGCTTTCATGCCAACAGTCGCGCTGCTGCACGGGCACACGCCGAGAGATGGCCGAGAGATGGCCGAGAGATGGCCGAGAGATGGCCGAGAGGTGGCCGAGAGATGGCCGAGAGATGGCCGAGAGATCGCGACGCTGGGAGGGGGTCTCCATTCCACCGGCCTCCGCCCCTCCCCCACTCCGCCTCATTCATCGACCGGGCTGGCGCATGGAGTCACGGACTATTTTTTATTATTTATTATTTATTATTTAATATTTCTTAGTAGGCTCGCCCTCCTCCACCTCCGCCACTCGGCCCACAACCTCCGCCAGCCTCCCCCACAATCTCCCGCGATCTCCCGCTAGGCTCGTGCTCATCTACCTCCGCCACTCGGCGCTCACCCACGCGCACCGCCTCTGCTACATCGCAATCACCGCGCTCGGGTTCGGGTCGATGCCGGCCCTCACGGAGATCGGCCGGCCCGGGGAGCCGCTGCTGGTTGGAGGCGCGCTGGTGCTCGGTTAGCCCGTTCGGCCCCCTTGGTGGAGATCGGTCGAGATCTCCCGAGATCGCTCGAGATTAGGCGCGCTGATGCTCGGCGAGGCGCTCGGCTACTTGATGGAGCAGCACGCGCGCCTCGCCTTTCTCGACCGCGACGCGGCCGCGCTCCCCCCGCCGCCGTGCGTCAAGGACATCTTGATCGACCGCGTGGTCGGCGAGGGAGGCCAAGGGACGGTCTACGCGGGCCGCTGGCTCGGCATACACGTCGCCATCAAGGTGAGATCTCACCACACATTCTCCCGCGATCTCCCACAATCTCCGCATACACGGCGGAGAGGGCGGGCGGTGCCAGCTCGCAGCTAGCTCTCCCTGCATGGGGTGGGCCCTTTCGCCCCCAACGCCCCCCCAACGCCCCCCCCCCCCCTCTCTCGCCCCTCGCAGGTGACGCGCGGCAGAGACACGGGGCGGCGGCTGCAGGATGAGGCGCGCCTGCTCGCGCGGCTCCGCCACCCGTCGGTCTGCACTCTCTTCGGCGCGACGGTCCTCTCGGACGGCGGCGGCGCGCTCGTGCCCGCGCTGACCACGGCACGGCGCGTGATGCTCTCCAAGTGAAGCTTCTCGGACGCTTCGCCTAGGCGCGCTCGTGCTCGAGCTGATGCAGACCTCCCTCAGCCAACTGCTCAGGCGGGGCGAGCCGAGGGCTCGCCGTGTTTAATGAGTGAGTGAGTTGATGAATGGATTAAACAATGCCTCAGGCGGGGCGAGCCGATCGCCGTCGGCTTGGCCGCCCGGATCGCGGCCGAGGTTGCGACGGGCATCTCCTTCTTGCACGGCAATGGCGTCATGCACCGCGACATCAAGCCGAGCAACGTGCTCCTCGACACGGAGTACCACGCGAAGGTGGCCGACTTTGGCCTCGCGCGGCTCGTGGGCAGCTGCCGGGCGAGATCTCGCCGAGACCTCGCCGAGATCTCGCCGAGATCTCGCCGAGGTGCTTGGCTCATGAGCAGCTACCGGGCCGCCCGGCCTCCTCACTCGTGGGACGTGGGCTTGGTCACCAGCATGGCACGCCCCCTCCCCCCTCACTCGTGACACCATGGCTTGGTAGGCAAGCCCGGCCTCGTCGCGCGCGGGCGAGCCGACGGCTGTGCGGCCTGACGCGCCTAGAAGCGGAAGACGTGTTCCTGTACTCCAACCAGCGCTCGAGAGGACACGGACTCTGCTGCACTCGACCGTATTCCGCTGTACTCCTAACCCGTGTGAGCATGCGGCGCTCTGAATGTACTGCACAACACCGCCTCCCCGCCCCTGACCGCGGCGTGCTCATGGCGTAGGCCTACCAGCCCCGAGACGCTGCACACGTCGGGCGTCGGGACGAGCCTCTTCATGGCGCCCGAGGTGCGCGCCCAGTCGAGCGCGCGCAGAGGGCCGCCGACGGTGGGCTACGACGAGCGGTGCGACACCTTCTCCTACGGGATGCTGCTCTGGTCCCTCATGCACGAGGTGGCCGTCCCGCCCTCCTCCGCCTCCGCGTCGCGGCCGCGCGTGAGCTTGCCGCCCGATCGCGCCGTCTACTCGGGCCTGATCACCCGCTGTTGGCAGCAAGACCCGGCGATGCGGCCGAGCATGCAGGAGGTGGCCGCCGAGACGATCTCCCTCACGCAGCGCTCCAACTACGCGCTGCCCGCGCCCGACGCCCGCGCGCCGGCGCCAGACATGGCGGGCCGGCCGTCGGGCGAGACCGTGCACGTAGGCCTGGTCAACAGCTGCTCAAACAAGCTCGACGGCGAGCCCGCGTCGGAGCAGGAAGGAGACGTTGGATTCGTTGTGTCCGGAGGACTCCTGGAGTGTGTACGTTGATTTACGGCTCATGTTGGTGTAACCCGATTCGCATGCGTGTTTAGAGTGACCTACAACGAACGAGGAAACCTGAGAGGTGTTTAAACTCTTTTTGGTAATTTGGACAAACCGTAGCCTGCTATGAAGGATGGCTCGTTGTGCGAGTATATGGGCCACGATGTCTCAAATATGAGGGGTTTTGACTCCTACCGGCTCCTGACGCTATCCCTGGCAGCTCTAATGACCAGGATCAGTAATGCTATGATAGAGGGTGCCCATACTAGCGCAGGAGCTGCCACACTTGCTCGTGTCCCTGTCGTTGGTCGGACTGTGATCTGTGTTTCGCCTTCCCATCAATCAATCAATCAGTACTCTTGAGGGGAAATTCGTAACGGGTTGGCCTCTTTGCCGAATTTGACTTTTTCTGACACGTAAAGAATGGGGTTTGTGGAGCGTCCAGAGATGTACAGAATGTGCAGAAGGTGTACAGAAGGTGTACAGAAGGTGTACAGAAGGTGTACAGAAGGTGTACAGAAGGAATGTACGGAAGGAATGTACAGAAGGTTGAAGGAAAAGAAAGCTGCATGCGCTCTCACTGGCTGGTTGTACGGCCCTCAAGGCATGCCCAGACGAGACAGGGCACAGGCAGCAAGGTCCTCTTGGAGCAGTGACATCCACACACATTGTCTGTGCAGCGGCCGGACAGTTCGGAGAGGCCATGGGTGTACCTGTGCACATTCTGCTGAAAAAGCCTGCTAAAGGCCTTCTGCACATCTGCTAAAGGCCTTCTGTACATCTGCTAAACGCCTTCTGTTACATTTTGCTAAAGCTTGCTAAAGGCCCTCTCCCCCTCCCCTTCTGTACGTACTTTTAGCTTACTGGGAGAAAAGAGAGAGGGGGTTGTGTTCTCTAGGCCCCTAAGGGCCCTACGCGCGGCGTGAGAGCTCGGAAGCGAGCTTTGCACGGCGATCGAGGATGGCACGGTTCACCCCCTTCACCGAAGCGATGGAGATGCGTTCCGCGTGGTGTGACACAAATGAGAGGCGGGAGTGGGGAGGGTACGCGGTGCGGTCAACGCCCGAGCGTTGACCAGACGCGGCACAAGGAGGTCCTCCTGGACCTCGTCGAGCTGCTGCGGGGCAAGCTGGGGCGCGGCGCTGTGGAGCACGAGTTTCACTGCGAGCACAGCACTACGAGGACGGACTTGTACATTTACCAGGGCGTGATTGGGGACCTGCCATGCATCGGCGACACGAAGATCTTTGCCGGTGTGCCGTCGGACCCCTCGGGGGCGGGGCGCATGGGGGCGTTCGTCGCTTGCGGCAACACGCTGCCACGCGCCCGCGAGACGGTTCTGGGCGTGGAGGGCGGGGACAGGGGTGGGAGGGTGGGACGGTGGGATCCGCGGACGGGGACCGGGACGGTTGAGGCTGTCAAGGGCCAGTACACGGACGCAGAGGGGAAGTGCCATGTGGAGGCGTTGCTCTTCGAGGAGTTCGGCGCAATGAGCGCGGGGGTGGAGGAGCTGCTGATGCGGGTGGCTGAGGTGGCGGGCCGGAAGCTCACGTGGTGGCAGTACGACCAGACGTCGTGGTCGGCGCGCGAATGGATGCCGTTTGCGCTGCAGCGACTGTCGGTGCAGCTCTGGGTGGCGCTCGCGGACGAGGCACAGCGCGCCATTGGTGCGGCGTCGCGCGACCGCGAGGGACCGCGGGGGAATGCTAGTGGGATGGGGGGCTCTGAGGGGAAGGGAGCGGGGGGCGCCCAGTAGGGCGCCGGCACCCCAGCGTAGAGGGCGTCGTGTAGCCCTTGCAAGTCGCGAATGCAAGCTCCTCTGGTGGCCCTGCACCAGTGGTAATTGTGTACGGATCGGGCGGTGGGTCCGTTCTGGCGGTGCGCCAGAACTTGTTTGGCATCGATTCTGTCACAAAGTTTCCAGAATCTGTGCAGGGGCTGCTGAATGGAACATACACGCCGAACGCATTTGTGATTTGGGTTTCGCGTGATCCGGACATGAGCGACGCTGTGCCCGCCCCAACTACGATCCAGTCCCTGCAAGCCCTCGGCCAGCCGAGCTACATCCCCCCTCCCGGTACATCTGGCTACAAGAATTTCCTCGGTGAGATCGTCTACAACATGATTCTCACGAACGTGGGCGTGGACAGCGCCGGTAATAAAGTGGCGAACTTTTCAGAGTACAACCACACAGGCCATGCATTGGTCCCGGGAGGCAAAGAACGGACGATAGTGTTTGATCAGTTCGGAAATCAGAAGTGGGAGCCGGACGATAGTGTTTGATTCAGGCAGTGGGAGCCGGAAATCAGAAGTCGGAGCTATATCCAGCAGAATTTGGGCATGCGGTCGCTCTGACAACTGACTTCCCTGACTCGCAGATGGTTCCATATGCGGCAGGTTTCAACAACACGGGGACGAGCTGTCGCATCTTCGGCGCCGCCGCTGTGTCAGAAGGTCTGTGGAAAACGACATCGGCACAGAGAGGCAGCAAGGACAGTTTCATTTCAAAACTGCAAGGCTTTATGAGTGAGCACGAAGTACCTGCAGCGGCCTCCTTTTTGGGCGCAGTTCCGTCACTCCTGGCCACTCTTCGTTTGTTCGCGACCCACGTTTTGAAGCGCGAAGACGCACAATTCGCCAAGGAGGTAAATATTCGGTTCGATCTCGAGATCGTCACGAAACAATTCCTGGTGGGGCGCGCAGGCGTGGGCCAACAGCAGGCTGAGGTCTTTCTGAAGCAGCTCAGACTGTTCAACAACGTCAAGAAGATGGAAAATGGTTTTTACAAGTACCCAAGTGGAGCCAGTTGCGAAATTTTGCATAACATGACCTTCGACCTAGCTAAAGTCTGCGTGAAATCAGGGACTGCGACCACCCTTGTGCTCACATCTGAAGGACCATGTTCCACAAACTGTTCGTTCTAATCAGAGGTTGCGCTGCTGGCACGCTGGGCGTGGTTCTGTTGGCGGTGTCCCATTCCCAGGGAGGATTGGGTGAGGGAGGGGCGGCTGCTCCTCTGGGAGGAGGACCTGGAGGAGTTGCGGAGTGGCGCTGGCGGGGGGGGGGGGGGGGGGAAACCCCCCACCAAACTGGAGGCCCGGCGGGAACCAGGGGGGGGGAAGGGATGGAATGGGATGATAATGGGGATGGTCTTTTCGGCGAGCATCACGGGGCTCGCGGATTTCACCATCCGCCTGACTACCATTCCGACGACGGCGCGGCTTCTGTGAGGACGACGGCTTCTATTGTAGAAGCCGTCGTCCGCGAATAGAAGCCGTCGTCCGCGCTTTGCCTGTTGTGTGAATCGTGCGTCTTGGGTCCGGGGTTGTGTTTTTGAGTGAATCGTGCATGTGCGAGAGAGTTTTGTTGTAAATAAATTCTAATCACATAGAGCCGTACCATGCTCGAGAAAAATGAAAATCTGGCGCAGATGCCAGATCGCAAAACCGAAACGAAAACGCCTGTGCAGTCCAACGACTCGATTTGCAAAACGGCGGGAAAATCATGTATTTGGGTCTTTTCCATGGTTGCACTTGCAGTGCGTCGATTGGTGCTCGGAATTCTGAGTTTCAGTTCACCTCCCCTACTCCCACCTCCACCGCCAGCCTTGCTGCGCCCCCGCCCCCGACGACCGGCGCGGCGGAAGCTCTTCCTGCGAGCGGCGGCCAGAGGCGCGCCCCGCCGCCGACTCGGCCGACGAGCGGCGCGACAGGCGGTTGAATACCCCGGCGGCGTCCGTGACGGCCCTGGTGGCCGCCCGCGCCGCCTGCCAACGCGCTCGCCGGCGGGCCGCCGCGAGGTGTTGCGCCCGCGACTCCACCTGCCCAGCGTCGAGCGGGGGCAAGCGGTGCGCTGCCACGGGAATGGTCGACGCCGTCGGCAAGGCGGACGGCGCCGCTGATGCTAGCGCTGCTGGCGACTGCGGCGACGGCGGCCTGTCAGAGGCATTGTCCTCGAGTCCCTCCTCGGGGTCCTCGCCGAAGCCCACGCCGAGGTCCTCGCCGGTGCTCTGCCAGACGAGGGCGTCGTACGCCGTGCTGACTCGCTCCATCTGCTGCGCATAGCCTGTTCGCATCCCGCCAGGACGGGTGACTGCAATCGTGTCACGCTTCCGCCTTCCTCTCCCAACCGCACGAGAGCACCGAGGCTCGACAGCCCGGGAGGGAGAGGCGGCACGACGACCTGTTCACAGAGCTCCCCGCCGTGAAGAGACGCTGTCCAGACTCACACTCCGGGAGGGAGAGGCGCCACGGCGACCGTCGGCCCCTCCTCCTCCCCCTCCAGCGCGCCCTCCCCCGCGTCGGCCAGCCCCCGCGGCCACGACAGCGCGCGGGGCGCGACGGCGGCGCGCCGGTACACGGGCGCGCCCTCCCCCTCGCCCCCCAGCATGGCGGGCGAGGAGGCGTGCTCGGAGACGGAGAAGCGGCCAGCACCGGCGAAGGACAGAGGCCACGTCTTCCGCACCTGACCAGTGAGCTCGTCGGTGAGTCTACACCCCGCCCACACACCTCGCCCACACACCTCGCCTCTCTGTCTGTCTCGCACCTCAGCCTCGCCCTTGCGCCTCGGGCACAGCAGCGCCGCGTGCGCCACCCGCGAGCCGTACACCTGCGCGTGCAGTGCGAGCAGCCGCACGGGCTCCTTGAGCGCCATGCCGCCCAGCCTGTTCGTCAATGGCTCACTTTCATTCACGAATCGCACGGGCCCGTTGAGCGCCGTGCCGCCCAGCCCGGCGCGTGCGAAGCCGGAGTCCCTCGCAACGAGGTCGAAGGCCGCGGGGGCGCCGACGATGGTGAGGAGGACCGAGCCACGCCGCACCGCGCGCAGCTCAAAGTCTGCGTGCGTCGCGCCGTACCGCTGGCGGAGCTCTTCGACCAGGCTCTCGCCTATTCGGCAGTTCAATACTCACTCAAAAGGACAGTGAGCCGCTGGCGGACCCCCCTCGACCAGGCTCGCGCCTAGAACTAGACACTTGAATACTCAAATGAGAGTGAGCCGCTGGCGGTAGCTCTTCGACCCGGCTCGCCGTTGGCGCGCGTGATCTCAAAGCCGTCCCGCTCGAAGAGGGCGATGCGCCACACCGCCGTCAGCCGGTCGATCTCGAGGTCAGAGTCGCGGAAGGAGGAGAGGCCGCACGTGCGCCGCAGGTAGCCTCGCAGGTGCATCTTTGCGCGCGCGAGGCTGTCGGAGTCTTCGTCGGGCGAGGCGAGGGCGGGGAGCTCGAAGGAGAGGCAGAAGGGGAAGCGGGTGCCGTCGTACAGCTCGGGCACCTATCGCCGCAATCATGACACGCTCGGCCACAGCTCGGCTACCAACACATCGGAGATCGGAAGTGGTGCAGGGCACCCCGGCAGGCACCAGCCGGATTCCCACCTCGCAGATCGCCTCTGTAGCGGCCGCGTCAGGGTCTCGCAGCGTGAACCTGTTCACAGCTGCAGGTGTGAAGAGACGCTGCTCACACTCACCGCTGCCGCGTCGGCGTCTCGCAGTGGCGCACTTTTGGGAGCGGGCTGGCTTGCCGTCCCTCGCCGTCGTCGGCTTGGTGTCAGCCGTCACGGCGAAGCGCCCGAACTCGAACGCCTGGAGGGGATAGATGAGGAGGCAAAGCAGTCAGACCAACGACTCGGACACCGGCGCGTCATACGGCGGGGCACTGGACGAGTGATGCTGCCGAGAGATGTCCGAGGTACAGCCGAGATGCAGCCGAGATAGCCACTCCTCGAACGCCTCCCGGTCAGAGCTAATCTCGGCTAATCTCGGCTAATCTCGGCTAATCTCGGCTCATTTCGCCTCCCGGTCAGAGCGGCCAAGCAGCAGGCTCGACCACACCGCCTCGCCGAACAGCCGCGCCGCCTCGTCCTCCACGCGGCTCGCCCAGCAGAAGACGGGGCACGCGACGCGCGCGTGCAGCAGCCTCGCCAGGTTCGCGGAGTGGCACCTACTGACCGCCAGAGTGTGAAGAGGCGCAGTGCACTTTCTTTCTGTGCCGCGCGAGAGGAAGTGTCGAGGAGGTGTCGAGGACGTGTCCAGCACGCGACGAGGGAGTGTCTGGAGAGTGTCTAGGAGTGGCACGAGTTGAGGACGGCGCGCTCGAGCGAGGCCGGGGCGGCCAACACGATCGGCTCGTGTGTCACCACCTATGGGGAGAGATGGGGAGGTTTGGGTTAGGGTTAGGGTATGGGTTAGGGTATGGGTTAGGGTTAGGGTTAGCACCTCTGGCGCGTTGCCGCGCACAAAGACGGCGCTGCCCCGCCGCATGTGGCACGCGACGTGCAGCTGGGTGCAGTCGCGGAGGAGGCCGGAGAGCTTGTCGGCGCTTGGGTTCTCGTGCACCAGCACCTAGGGCAGTAGTAGCGCCACTTCAAAAAGCGGCAACTCTCATACCTAGATCGCCGACGCCAGGCTACTGAGCGGGACGAAAGGGCGTAGGGTGCTCAGCATGCACCTCGCCCGGAATAAGCCGCTGCAGCAGCGCCACCTCCGCTCGCGCTTCGGGAAGAGAGGCTCCGCCGCTGCTCTCGTTGACCGCAATGATGACGGTGGGGCCAGTACTCGGTGGGGCGGGCTGACTGCCCTGTCTGCCCTGCCTGCTCTCCCTCCCATGCGGGCCGCCTCCCCTCTGCCGCTCTCGAGGCGACACCTCGGCACCCGACGGGAAAGGATCGGCCCGAGGCCCGGTCCAGCGCGGCTCGCCGGTCCAAGTGAACCGGGCGGCGTCCTCCGGAGATGAAGCGCGGTCGTCGTCGTCCGACAGAGTCGAGCCTTTTGGAGGCCTGTTCGCCTCCTCCTCGTCGCAAGCTTCCGATGCCGTCGTCTGCAGCGCGCTCATTGAGCCAGCTTTTTTCTCTTTGATCTGGCCAGCGAGCCTCGCAAGAGCCTCGTACGCGGTGAGGCCGATGCTAGGAGCCGGTTCCCACTGCGGCGGAGGCTCAGTGATGACAACGCTCAGCGACGACGCTCGCGGGCTGCTGCGAAGGCGGCGTGGCTGCTCCGGGGTACTCGTGTTGCCGCTTTGTTGGCGGCGCGGCGGGTCGGGAGTGCGCCTCCCGAGGAAGCCGAAGAGGGTCCGCATCCCTCAAAAGCTGGAGAGCGCGCCGTCGCACAAAGGGCGCGGCGCCGAGTCAAGGATGCACACGTCCAGGAAAGATAGCAGCTGGGGAGCGCCGTCGCAGCGAAGGGCGCGGCGTCAGGACAAGGATGCACTCGTCCAATATCACGCCCAAAAGAAAAAGCAAAATCGCGCGACAAAGCGAGGGGAAATTTCTTTTTCGAGCAGCAGCAGCCTTCCACCTCCACACAGCACACACTCTGATCGGGCCTCGCGCCGCTCTCGGCTTACGTACACGAGGGAGTAGTACGCGCTACCTGTCTCTTGCGGCTGATGCTTACCCTCCTTCAACTTGTCCGGGACGCCAACTTCTAACATCCTTTTCTGTAACAAGACGCTCGGAAAAATGGAACGGGCGGCCGTAAGGCTGCTGGTGTGAACGGCTACGCGGTGTGCGGGTGGCTTACTGGCGTCCACCCGCCGGGGAAGCAGGCGGCCGGCCCGGCAAGCGAGTGGCCGAAGCGGCGCCACTGGTGACATCCCAATAGAAGGGCGCCGCGGCGATCGAGGCGTCCTGCTCCCACACCAGCGCTGCGCTCACGCCCTGGAGGATCGCCTCCACAGTCGGCTGAAGCTGCGCATCGCCGTGCAGCAGCAGGGCAACAGCTGCCGCTGCCTGGTCGTACGCGTACGCGCGGTCTCGCCACCACGAGCCGGCCGTGCCCGCTGGCGGGTCATAGGATACGAGCGAGCCTGCGGTCGCCGCGCTCGCGCTCTCAGCGGAGCGCGAGGCGAGCCACGCGGCGGAGGTGGCGACAGACACCAGCGGCGGACACGAGCTGGACGCGGCAAGCCAGCAGCAGAGAGCAGATCGCACCAGTACGACGGGAGAGCCGACCACGGAGACTCGAATGGGGCATCGGTGACGTAGATGTAGCTGAACCCCGCCGCCGCCGCCTGTGCCGGCACGGCGCCAGCGCCATTATTCGCCGCGTAGACGAGGGCGCCGAATGCGCTTCCGGATGAACCGCCTGCCGCCGCACTCACGACCGCATCGACGCCGTCCCAGTTGTAGCAGTAAGGGCACCACGGTCCCGGCGGATGCGCGCCTTGGCTCCGCGCATCGGTGCGGATCAGATCGACGCACTTGGGGCGCGGGTATGAGCCGAGCGCCGGCCACGCTGGGTCCCATTTTGTCGCACTCTGCTCGAAGGCCACTATCAGGTCGGCTCCACCTGTGGCCGCATCGAGCATCGAGTAGTATGGCGGAGAGCCCGAGTTGGCAGCGACGGTCCACCCGGGCCTGGGGGCGGCGGCGACGGCGGCGGCGGGCTCGGAGGCGGCGGGGAGGGCGGCGGCGGGCTGGGGGGCGGAGGGCTCGGAGGGGGCGGCGACGGCGGTGGCGGGCTTGGAGGGGGTGGTGACGGCGGCGGAGGGCTGGGTGGCGGCGGCGAAGGAGGAGGCGGGCTCGGTGGCGGCGGCGAGGGAGGGGGTGGTGAGGGCGGCGGAGGAGAAGGCGGCGGAGGGCTGGGCGGCGGCGGCGAGGGAGGCGGCGAGGGCGGCGGCGGCGAGGGCGGCGGCGGCGAGGGCGGAGGCGGAGGGCTGGGTGGCGGCGAGGGCGGTGGGGGCGAGGGCGGCGGCGGGGAGGGCGGTGGGGGGCTAGGCGGCGGCGGCGACGGCGGCGGCGACGGTGGCGGCGGCGACGGGGGCGGCGGCGAGGGTGGCGGTGGGGACGGCGGAGGAGGTGAGGGCGGCGGCGAAGGCGGCGGTGGCGAAGGCGGCGGCGGAGAAGGTGGAGGCGGCGAGGGCGGCGGCGGAGAGGGCGGTGGTGAGGGCGGCGGCGGCGGCGGCGGCGACGGCGAGGCGGAGGGAGGCGGCGGCGACGGCGAGGCGGAGGGAGGCAGCGGCGAGGGCGAGGCGGACGGAGGCGGCGGCGACGGCGGCGCGGACGGAGGCAGCGGCGACGGCGACGCGGAGGGAGGCGGAGGCGACGGCGACGCGGACGGAGGCGGCGGCGACGGCGACGTGGACGGAGGCGGCGGCGACGGCGAGGCGTAGGGAGGCGGCGGCGACGGCGACGTGGAGGGAGGCGGCGGCGACGGCGACGCGGACGGAGGCGGCGGCGACGGCGACGCGGACGGAGGCGGCGGCGACGGCGAGACGGACGGAGGCGGCGGCGCCGGCGAGGCGGAGGGAGGCGGCGGCGACGGCGAGGCGGACGGTGGCGGCGGCGACGGCGAGGCGGACGGTGGCGGCGGCGACGGCGATGCGGAGGGAGGCGGCGGCGACGGCGACGTGGAGGGAGGCGGCGGCGACGGCGACGCGGACGGAGGCGGCGGCGACGGCGAGGCGGACGGAGGCGGCGGCGACGGCGACGCGGACGGAGGCGGCGGCGACGGTGAGGTCGAGGGAGGCAGAGGCGACCACGGCGACGCGGACGGAGGCGGCGGCGACGGCGCGGCTGACGGAGGCGGCGGCGACGGCGCGGCGGACGGAGGCGGCGGAGACGGCGATGCGGACGGAGGCGGCGGCGACTGCGAGGCGGACGGATCGGACCACAGGTTCGCCGTTTTGACGGCGTCGGCGAGACGGAAGACTCCATCGCCGTCATTGTCACCCCCATTGCAAGGGGGGGCCTTTTTACGTTTCTTTTCCAGTCCAGACATTGGATAAGAAGACGGCGTCACCGAGACGGAAGACTCCATCATCGTCGTAGTCAAGGTCATCGTCAGGGGTGCAGAGGGGCGCAGCCGAAGCGGGCACCACGATTGAAGAGAGAAGCCCGTCGGAGCCGTGCGAGAAGTAGGCCAAGGCCCCGCCGCTCGCGGCGATGAGGCAGATGTAGATGGTGCAGAGCATGTTTTGCCAGCAGAGCTTGGGCCACGAGAGCCAGCCGGAGGCGGAGACGGAGCCAGTCGTGGTCGTCTTGGGGTCGACCGCCTTCTTGACCGTCTTGGGGGTCTTGGGCTTGACCGTCGCGCCCTGAACAGGGGCGTGAGACTGGCTGTGAGCGGCGAGCAGGGGGCGGAAGCTGCACATGCAGGCGGCGAGCACCGAGTTTGTGGCCGACGGCGCCTTGGACGTCGCCTTGCCACCGCCGATGCCCTCGTTGCCGCCCGACCCGAGCAGGGCGCCGTACCCGTTGCCGCAATCGATCGGGGCGGACGCCTCCTTGCGCTCGTGGTTGCGGCGCGACTTTGAGGGGCTCGTCCACTCGGTGATGCCCTGTGCACACGCACACAGGCGCGTCAGCAGCTGTGGGCGCCGGATCCGCTTGCAGAATGCGCGGCGCTCGCCGCCGGGGCGGGCGTCTCCGCTGGAAACTTCTCGATCGACGGCAGCGGCGCGCCGCCGGCGGTGACCGGCTCGAGAGCCGGCGCGTCTTCGGTGACCGGCTTGAGAGCCGGCGCGTTTGTGGTGACGCCGGTTGGGGCCGTCTTCGGGTCGGTCGGGCCGTCGGGCCGTCTTCGGGCCTTTGAGTTGCGGCGCCACATCACCGTGCCGATGACGGCCAGGGAGGCGCCGCAGGCGATGGCGAGGAGGATGAGCACGAGTGCGGGCATGAGAAGCGGCGAGCAGCTCACGAGCGAGGACGCCTTCGAGGCGACGGCGGGCGAGAAGGCCGAGGACGCCGCCGAGGCGACGCCGGATGAGAAGGCCGAGGACGCCGAGGCGAAGGCAGACGAGAAGGCCGAGGCCACCGCCGTCGGGCTAGGCACGGCGGCCGCGCAGTGGCCAAAGGCGGGCATGCAGACGAGGAGCAGCCACCGGAGAGCGCCCTCGGCCTTCGTGTAGCCGCCCTGCACGCAGTTGGCCGCCGCCTTGAGGGCGGCGCGACCGCCGGCGCCGCCGTCGGTGGGCGTGTTGGGCGAGGCGAACAGGTAGAGGTTGTTGCGCTTGTCCTGCACGACGGTCGCCACACGGGGCGTCGAGGCGGTGGAGGCGCAGTGCGCCAAGCTGCAGGCCGAGCTCGAGGCGGCGCAGGCTGAGGCCGCTAAGTTCAAGGCCATCGCCGAGCCCACCAAGGCGCGCTTCAAGCTGGGCAACCACTTCAACGCCGAGACGGAGCTCGCGTGCATCTCGGTGATGCACCTCGGCATGGCGCGGCAGAAGATCCCGAAGCTGTTCCCGATCTTCGCGCGGCTCTTCGGGGTCAAGCTGTCGTACCGCGAGATCAAGGTCCCCGGCCCGATCCCGCGGCGGGTCCTGGCGACCCCTCGAGGGACGCCAGGGTGGCCAGGGCCTCTGCCCTAGCAGGCTCCAAAAACAGCGCGGTCGCCTCGCCGATGCCACGTAGCTTCTGCTTGGAGGTGTGGAGGTCCTCAGGGGTCGCGACCTGCGCATGGCTCGTCGGGAATGGTCACCAGCGTCGTGTGCGACCTCTCTCCCGAGGCGTGCGACCGAAGGGAGAGCTGAGGCGAGGCTGAAGTCACAGACAGCTAAGCTGCTGGATTTCTTATGCTTGATAGTACTAGCACGCGCCAGTTCGCACCTGTGTCGAGCCTGTGTGCTGTGAGAGAGAGTTGTCTTGTTTAAATTCTTATGCTGACAGTTCTGGGCGCTCCCGCGTGAACTGACGGCAGGTGAGCCGGCAGGTGGGGGGCGGGGGTGGATCCCCAAGCGGGCGAGCCGGGCCCAGGCATCGTTCGCGCGCGGGGGGCGCGCGAGCATGGGAAAGACGCACCTCCATCGTGCTTGCTACCGGCGCTTTTTTGGCCGTTGGCACCATCGTTGATGACTTGATTGCGCGGGAGTCGAATCCCAAAACCTCTCCGCTCGAGAGGGAATTTAATTGTTTTGGGGGATTCCGACCGACCTAGAATTCCTGATCACCCAATCTTTGCCGCTGCAAACATCGCGTCCATACCGGCCGAGTGCGCCTCGCGCCTCCGCGCCTCGCGCTCCTCGTCCTCCCGCCGGCAGTCGGTGTCGGGCATCTCGTACACCGGCGGGTGCGCGGCGCGGTGCGCCGCAACCTGCTGCACGCGCGCCTCGGCCTCGATCGCACCGAGCGCCCGCCGAGCGCGGTTGAGTGCAGTCCGCACCGACTTTTTGTGCGACGCGGGCAGGTCGGCGCCGAGGTCCTTCTTGAGGCGCCTCCCGCCCAGCAGCGCGTCGAGGACCTGCTGGGCGCAGTCCAGGTCTCGGAGGCTCGCGCTCGCGTCGATGTCGGCGCAGAGGTCGGTCTCGATGAACGTGGCCACGCCCTTTGCGGGCGCTGCAGCGAGCAGCAGCCTGGTGGCTTCGAGGAGCCGCGGCAGGCCGAGGAAAGCGCGGTGCAGCGAGCACACGCGCAGCGCCTTGAAGAGCGCGCCGCGGAGCGCAGTCGTCTCTGCACAAAGCGCAGCGTCGAGCTGTCGCCGCTGCTCCTCCGGGACGTCATGCTGCGCCACCTCAAGCAGGCACCCGTGCAGCGCCTCCGCCAAGCCTGCGCGTGCCGCGGCGAGCGCCTCGGCTCCGTCCGAAGCGGCGACGGTGGCGAGCGCGGCTCGGATGGACTCTAGATGGGAGGCGGTGTTCACCATACTAGTATGGCTCTTCGCGCGAAACCACGGACAGCTATTGGGGGCCCGCCAGCATTACCCCGCCCGAGACGCCGGGTCTCGGACGCCTGCGGGCGCCGCGACCTTTTCTTTGGTTGAAAAATTCTCTTTCAACCACCACGGGTTCTGAGGCGGGCGAGGCGGCTGCTGAGGCGTTGGCGGAGGCGGCGGTCGATGCCGTCTACGGGGCGCTCGTGGCGGCGACGCTCGAGGAGTGGGCTGGCGCGAGAACGGAGTTGTGTGTGTCCGCTGAGAACGGAGTTGTGTGTGTGTGTGTGTGTGTGTGTGTGTGTGTGTGTGTTGTGTGAACTTCAGACAGAGGAGGGCGGATGCTGAAAAGTTTGGTCGAGAACGAGGACGAGTTCACTGGACGCTCGAGAGGGTGGGCGCGGCGGACAGAGAGGAGGAGAGGGCTTATCCGAGGAGGAGGGTGGTGAGGATGCATCGACGATAGGGGGAGGAACGGAGGTGGTGGGGATGGTGCGCGTCTGAATTCGGACGCCTGTGCCACCCTCCACACACTACACACCACACACAGTGTACTAGCACCCCGGGGGAAGGGGGCGCAGCCCCTGACCTGGCTGCCAAGGCGCCAGCCGAGGCTGTCACACAAGAGGCCGAGGCGACAGCCGAGGCCACTACCCAAGGTGGAGCCGAGGCGACGTCTGAATTCGGACGCCTGTGCTACCCTTCATACACGCTACACACAGTGTACTAGCGCGGTGCATCCTGTGCCGTGCCCTACGAATGTCGATACTCGAGCTTCCTTGTGCTCAATCTTGTCACGGTCCTACGTCCCTTGCGAGCGTTCGCGTGAAGCAGTGTTTCCTGCAGAGCCGCCAGAGGCATTGTCGCCTCCGGTGGCGGGGTTCCCGCGCGCCCGCCCGCGCCCGCGCCCGCCCACGCCGCGCCCGCGGGCTCCGGATGCGCCGCCCTCCTTCGCCTTCTTCTCGATGGCAGTCCACGCGTGCTTGTCGACGGGTCAGCGGCGTGGTCGAGGGGAAGGTCGCCGGCGGCCGCAACTCTGCCGCCGTCGCTCCGCCGGCTCTGATCGAGTATCGGGCGTTGAGGGCGGCGGCGCAAAGCGAGTCTGGCGCATCCATCGCCACGAGCCTCGCGGCGGCGGTCGTGGCACACTTGGCGGCGGCTCTCGAGGCCGTCTCTACGACGCTCGACGCCGTGTGAGGTCGCCGGCGGCCGCACCTCTGCCGCCGTCGCTCCGCCGGCTCAACCGAGTATCGGGCGTTGAGGGAGGTGGCGCAAAGCGGGTCTGGTGCACCACGGCCACCACCCTTGCCGCCGCCCTTGCCGCCCTTGCCACCCTTTGCCACCTTGCCTCCGCCACGGGGCGGCGGCGGTGGGAGCGGCCTGCTGGGCTAGCATCTGCCTAGCATGTTGTCCAGTTGGCGTAGAAGCGGCTCGGATGAGAGTCGTCGTCGCCGGAATCGCGGATGGCGTTCGTCGCAAAGTACAGAAAGAGTGGCACGCCGGCGGTCTTCCCGGCGCTCCCGTACCTTGCAACGTGGTCGTTCTATCAGGAAGCGGTGAACGCCTCCTCCTGCAGCTCGGTCGGCGAGTAGTAGTCCTCGGCGTCCGCGTAGTGCCGCCGCATAAATGGGGTTTTATGGACACGGGGGGGAATTGCCTTCCTAAGACCTTGGACCAGAGCAGAGGAGGCGCTGTTTTCAAAGGCGGTGTTTTCCATGTAGTACACGTTGTATATTTGCTCGTCTTGTAGCTGCAAACCGAGTCGTACGCGAGCGGGTTCTCGAGCAGCCTATTAATCAATGATGTCACTCATAGCGATGAACAGCAAGTGTGAGAGATCCGTCCGGCTGCCTCGTGTGTGCCCGAAGAAGCGGTTGAAGCCGCGCGAGGTCGGCAGGTGAGCCGCTTGCACGCCGCAATGCCACTTGCCGACCATGTTTGTAGCTCAGGTAGCCAGTGGAGCTGAGCTCTTTTGCATCAGCGTCACCTAGTATCGGGAAGTGGTTTTTTTCTTTTTTACCGGCGCCGGCCGCCGGCACGGATACACGATCGTGTATCTGTCCCTGCGTCCCTGCCCGGGAAAGGGGATTAAGAACTCAAAACAAACAACCCGAACGATTTCTTTCGCCCTTCATACGGTCGTCTGCAGCACTCGCTCCAGGAACTCGGCCCAGCTGGCCGATTTTCGGTGCTCATTGAACCCCGAGACGAGCCAGATCGAGCCGTCGGGCGCGCACCCGAGAGTCTGGAAGCCAGACGTGTCCGTGAGAGAGAGCAGCGCGCCGTCGCCACGCCAGCCGCCGCAAAGCTGCGCGGACAGCTCCTCGAGGCTGAGGAGCCGGGCGCCTGGACCGCGGCCGGGGGCGCGTGTCATGGACGTGTCCTGGACAGCTCCACGAGGCGGAGGACCGGCCGCCTCCAAAGAAAAGCCCGAGGCCTGCGGCGAAGGTAGAGGCGGTGAGGGTGGCGGCAAGCGACGGCGGTGGCGGGGAAGGCTGGCGGGGGGCGGGGGGGGGGGGGGGGCCTCGGTGACGGCGACGGCCGAATTTTTGTAAATGGAGAAACCCTGCCCTGGGCCTGCCTGTTTGGAGGCATCCCCGGGGGGGGGTCGTTTGGCATGGGAAGAGGGAAAAAATTGTCCCACCCTCCCAGGAAACAGGCGGCAGGGAGAGAGGCGGCAAGGAGAAGGGAGGAGAGAGGCGGCAGGGAGAGAGGCGGCAGGGAGAGAGGCGTGTAAGGAGAAGGGAGGAGAGAGGCGGCAGGGAGAGAGGCGGCAAGGAGAAGGGAGGAGAGAGGCGGCAGGGAGAGAGGCGGCAGGGAGAGAGGCGGCAAGGAGAAGGGAGGAGAGAGGCGGTAGGGAGAGAGGCGGCAGGGAGAGAGGCGGCAAGGAGAAGGGAGGAGAGAGGCGGCAGGGAGAGAGGCGGCAGGGAGAGAGGCGGCAAGGAGAAGGGAGGAGAGAGGCGGCAGGGAGAGAGGCGGCAGGGAGAGAGGCAGCCAGGAGAGAAGGGAGGAGAGAGGCGGCAGGGAGAGAGGCGGCAGGGAGAGAGGCGGCAAGGAGAAGGGAGGAGAGAGGCGGCAGGGAGAGAGGCGGCAGGGAGAGAGGCAGCCAGGAGAGAAGGGAGGAGAGAGGCGGCAGGGAGAGAGGCGGCAGGGAGAGAGGCAGCCAGGAGAGAAGGAAGGAGAGAGGCGGCAGGGAGAGAGGCGGCAGGGAGAGAGGCAGCCAGGAGAGAAGGGAGGAGAGAGGCGGCAGCGGTTCGCTCACCCCACTGGCCGGTGCCGAACTGACCGTCGTGCACGAGGAGCGACGCCTAAAGGGAAGGCTCAGTCATCCGGCACATGTGAGAGGCTGGCACATGTACATGTGAGAGGCTCTCTTCAGTCTCTGCTGGCACATGTACATGTTGTGAGAGGCTCTCTTCAGTCAAGCTCTCTTCAGTCTCGAGTGAGATGCCCGGCGGGAGGCTCTCTTCAGTCCCGGTCTCACACAGTACACAGGGGACGCCGGGCGCAGTGAAGAGAGGTAAGGTCAGCGTCTCCACACACACACGAGATGGCGGGGCAAGGGCCAAGCGACGTCTAAACGACACGGAGATGGCACGGCATTGAAAGTGCAAGGCCCGGTGCGCGAGGGAGAGGGGAGAGAGAGGGAAGAGAGGCGGGCCGAGGTGATGTGATGTGCAGAGGCGCGGCGCCTGAGAGCAGAACACGCCGACGGCGAGTGAAAGACAGAGAGAAGCCGCATCTTCGCGAGGTGCGGGAGAGAGAGAGAGAGAGAGAGAGAGAGAGAGAGAGAGAGAGAGAGAGAGAGAGAGAGAGAGAGAGAGAGAGAGAGAGAGAGAGAGAGAGAGAGAGGGAGAGAGGGAGGGAGGGAGGGAGGGAGGGAGGGAGAGAGAGAGAGAGAGAGAGAGAGAGAGAGAGAGAGAGAGAGAGAGAGAGAGAGGGAGAGAGGGAGAGAGGGAGAGAGGGAGAGAGAGAGAGGTAGCGCCGCGACGTCTGGCGGTAGGGCGCGAAACGCGGCGGCCGTCGGCGCGTGCTGGAGCGCGGAGAGAGGCAGCCCCGCGCGGAGCGAAGCGCGCACGCCCGGCGCGCAGGACGCGTGCACGCGCCCCCACATGCGGGAGAGCATGAAGACCCGCTTCCAGTCGACGAGCTGCGCCGGCCTCGGCGCCGGCTGGCTGCTTCGCCGCTGTCCGCCAGAGGACGTCTCCGCGGCTTGGCGAGGAGCGAGAGCGGCGCCGTCGTCGTGCCGAAGAGGCCGGTCGTGATGGCGACGGCCTGGCGCTGCGGCGCCGACGCGCATTGCGCGGCTGGCGACGCCGATCGGCGCGAGGGCGAGCCAGCTGTCGGCACCGAGCCAGTCCGCTCCAAACCCCTCGGGCCAGAAACGAGGGTGACAGTGCCTCAGCCAGAGGCAGCCCTGTCCGGCGATGTGGCCCGCAGCCTTGCAGGCGCGGCCGAATCGGCACAAGTCGGGAGCAGACATCCCGACCAGCGCGCGCAGCAGCAGCTCGTCTGGAAGCGACAGGAGCGTCGGCGCATCCGCCTCGCCGTCCGTCGGTGTGGCGTCGAGAGCCGAGAGCACGCGTCGCAGACTGGCGTCGGCCGTGGTGTCTACGACGTACCGGTCAGCGATGGGCATGAATCCAGCCTCGCGCAGTAGCGCAGCACCGCTTGGAGAAGCGATCAGGGTGGAGAAATGCGGGTTCGCTTTGCGGACGCTTCGCCTGCTCTCGTCTGTGAGCGCGTTCGAGATGTAGCGCCGGGCGAGATCTCGGTGCGTCGGGCTGAGGTTTGAGACATGCAGAGGCAGGTTCACCACGGCCCCGGCCATCGGCGAATTCACCGCCGCGCCCCGGGCCCCGCCCGGGCCCCAGATCCCCCAGAAGCCCGGATCAGCCTGGTTCACCCTACCCCCGCACCATCTCCGTCGCTTGGTTCCATAACCTCTGCCACCACCGGGAGGCGGCCAGGGCTTCATAGACTCGGTCGAGAGACCCCAGATTGGCATCCATGCCTCTCTGGACAGGGTGGCCCGCCACAACGACCCCTGGAATTGCGACTCGCCGCTTTCCTCCCGCTGTGATTCTGTGTGAGCTCTGTGTCTTGATTTGCCAACAATATACCTAAAGGTCCACACTAGTTTTACACCGGGCACCGCCTCGGTATACAAAATGCGCCTGCGGGCGGACCCCGCTTACAGATCACAGATCACAACCCCCTAGATGGTCGATGAGGAACCCTGTCTCCAGCTCTTTCTCTGGGCATGGCACTTTCGCAGATGACTGCCTCGTACCATGCCTTCCTGTATGGAGTCTATAAAAGATCGGCAATGGACAGGACAGACAGACGAGCGAGGTGATGCAAAGCAGAGCCAGGGCACGTGCCCGAGTCCGCTACGCCGGAACCCCAGCGCTTGGTCACATCAGCCCTGAGGTCATATCCTTCTCTCCTCTGTTGATGGTAACAGTTGTCTACTCGCTGGAGCCGAGCAGGGGGGCTTGGGCGCACAACCCCTGTTCAACTCAGGGGGTCCTCTTCCCCTTTAGAAGCTAGAAGATGTAGGATTGCGAGCGTGGGCGCTCACAATGAATCGCACAGAGATGCTACGATTGCGAGGAGTGGCTGCTCACAATCCTTCGACTTCTAGGATGGAGAGCGAGGCTGCTCTCAATCCTAGCGCTAGCCTCTAAAGCCGTACTACAAAAGAAGGTCCACCTCGGCACAATCCACAAAGTTGTCGTGCGCAGTGCCAGTGCGCAGATGGTGGCGCTCGCTGTGCCTGTGGGCCTCTGCTGGGCGCGGCGAAGCGGCGAACCCGGCAGACAGCGGTCAGCGCGCGGCCAGCGTCACAGACCTCGGTAGAAAACCTCTGCCACGGCGCTGCGTACTAGTCTCACACAATCTGGGTGCCAAAAGGCTCGGCCTCGGGGGGGGGGACCTAGTCGAAAGTTGACTGCGACCGTCTCTACAACGTACTCGTACAGTCGTACTTCATCCGACCCACGCCTCAGCCCGTAACGCAGCCGCCTTCCAAAAGCTGGCCCGTCGCTCGGGGTGCCGACCACTCAGAAGTCCTTGTTGAAGTCGCCCAAATCGACAACCTCGCCGCCAAGCAGGCGGACCATTCGCCTGCGGCAGCCGTCCCAGCTCGCGCCGAGCAAGCCGCCAAACAGCCGCAGCAGCATGCCGACCGACACGAGAGCCGCACGCAGCAGGCGCAGCAGCGCGAGCAGCAGTGGCCCGATGGGCGTGCGCATGCACAAGGCGGCGGCGACCTGCAGCGGACGCGCCGCCGCCCGGGCGCAGAAGGCGAGGCGCGCCTGTGGGCGGCACGGGAAGCGGGCTCCAGGGCGGGGGGGGCTGTTGGTCGGCCTGGTGTTTCTCGTGGCGTTTCGCAAGCAGCAGGTCGTGCGCGAGAGGAGAGGCGGAGGAGGACCACACCTCCAGAGCGTCGAGTCCAGAGTGGGTTCAGGTCCTTGGGTGGTGCGGTAGTCGTGACGAGAGGCGAGAGGGCGGTGTGGAGAGGAGAGGCGAGGAGGTGGGGAAGGGAAGAGGGGTGGGAAGGGGGGAGGGGCGAGGAGGAGGTGGGCAGGAGGTGGGGAGGAGTTGGGCAGGAGGTGGGGAGGAAGAGAAGCGAGAGGGTGTCTGGTGAGAGAAGGCAAGCAGCGGGGCCTGCGATCGCTCGCTCAGCAAGGCCATGCCGATGCGGGCAACGGCGAGGGAAAAGAGAGAGCCTAAGTGTACGGGGAAGCCGACAGCGTCGGGCGGCGTGGCCATCTTCAGCACGGTGGGTCGGCGCGACCAACTTCAAAGCCTCTATGGGTGAGAGATTGCGGGGCGGCGTGACCAACTTCACAGCCTCTATGGGTGAGAGATAGCTATCATCGCATCTGCGGGGGAGAGCCAGCGGCGACCAGGGTGACAGCCCTCGGGCCGAGGCTGCCCCACCCACCAGCAGCAGCCGCGCGCACGCACGCCCCGCAGGATGCTCGGCACGTCTTCAGCATGAAACTCGCGTTCTTCTCGCACTCCCCGCCCGCGGCCCAGTTGGGGCAAGCGGCGTCCTGGTCGGCGCAGTCGGCGCTCGCGGCAAAGGGCGACGCCGGCGCGAACCAGCAGCCTGCCCACGCCGCGAGGAAGCACTCGATCTGGCGGAGGCTCGTGTCGTTTGCGTCGCGCGGCTGGGGCGTCTCGCCAGCGAGGCTTCTCCACATCCATCCGAGGCTACCGCGGACGGAGAGCAGCACCCAACCTGCCAGAGCCGCGGCGGCCAGCGCGTGCAGCGGCAAGAAGGACCACGACGCGAATGAGTCGGCCGTGCACCGCCAGTCCCACAGCTTGTTGAGCGACGCTTTGGGCGGCTCCTCCTGTCGGCAGGCGATGGCGCGTCGCACGTGAAGCAGACCGACGACCACGAGCAGCGAGGCGCTCACGAGATCGGCTAGCGGCAGGCCCCGGCGCACAGGACTGGCGTCGAGGCCAGTGCGGGTCGATGGCTCGCCGAGCATCTGCGGTCCACCCGAGCCAGCGAGCGCGGGGAGCCCTGGCGAGTAGAGTCCACGCCTGCTATTCACAGCACAAGCCCCCTTGGGGCTCGAGCATGCGCAGCGAAGACTCCTTTTTCCAGACGGATCCCCCCTGTGAAAAAGTGAGGCGTGGTCTCTACTCGCCAGGGTTAGTCCAAAGAGGAAGTGTCCGGAAAAAGAGAATTCGGTTGCGGGCTGCTGCTGCTGTACGTTCGGTTCCCGCGGGAAGCCCCGCGCATAGGACAACAACGGCCCCGGGCTGCGGATAGTATTATTGTTGGTTCTCGCTGGTGGTTGTCGAGAAATAAAAAAAAACTTCTTCGGGGACACACGATTCCAGAAATGGTTGTGTCCCCGCTCCTCGCTCGCCCGGGCGGAGGGCATGGCCGCGGAGGAGGCGAGTACGCGCTGCCAGGCCTTCCGCAGACAGCCTCTTGGCCAGACTGAGGGTCGGCTTTGTGTGGCGTGGCCCGTGCGCTGCGCTGCACAAAGCTGCGTAAACTGCGGGAGCATCCTGTGCTTCCTTTGGGAAGTGCGCACCTCCTTCAGCTGGTGGAAGGCCGTGCCGCCGCTCGTCTGCTCCGTGGACAGGGCGGGGAGGCGACGCCGCAGCGCCGCAGCGTCCGCTGCACGCCGGTGCAGCACTCTGCTGCCTGGTGGGCAGCATGCTGGTGCTGTGCGCGGTGTTTGCGAGGCGGCTTTGGCGCTGTGCTGCCAGCCGAGGCGAGTGGCGCGAGGCACGCGCGGCGCCGCGCGTGGCCCGGATGGCGCCAGAGAGCGCTCTCGATGAGCCAGCCGGCGCGGCGCGAGCGCCGTGCAAGCTGGCACATCGTCTGCATGCTGCCGTCGATTCTCTGGTCGACGGCGGTCAATCTCACGATTGTCGATCAAAACCGGCGGGCTTTGTGACGCCGTTTACGCAATCGTTTTTTGGCCTCGCTTTCTCTTTTGCTTGGTTTTATTTTGTTTTTTCGTTTGCGAAGCGACAGAGGGGGGGGCGGGCGGGCGCTAACTATGGGCAACTACATGTCGAAGGTTCGAGGACGACTACTTGCCGCCTGGGTCGTTTGGGGCGCGCGGCTCCGTCGAATCCGGGAGAAACTTCCTGAAGGGTGAAAATTGGGTGCGCGGCCCACTCCTTGGAGATATCCGGACCGGCCACCGGGTGTAGTGTTCGAGTCTCATTTCGGCCAAAAGAAGAAAGCCGACCGCCGGAACGCCCGCCGGAACGCCGGTTTGCCGCGATGGCCGATGCCAGTGTCGGATCAACCGTATCCCAAACCGAGCGGCTGGGACAACTGGGGTTTCGGGCGGTGGCGACCGAGTAAGTGATGGAGTGTTGAAACTCGGGCAACACTACAGTGGGTTGCGGGCATTAAGAAAACGTCGCATTAAGAAACCCTACCAAGAGATTTCCGCACGAGACCCTAGGCGGCTAGGAGCTGGAACCCAGCCAGTCGACCCGTCCGGGCCGAGGCTTGGACGCCAGCGCTGGTCAGAGCGGCCGATGACGGAGGCCTCGGCCGTGATCGAGGCCCTCCAAGCCTCGGAGAACCGCCAGGAGCAGCTCCTCGTGCTCCAGCAGTCCTGGCGCTGCGCGGAAGCTGCGCCGATGACGCTGCCCGAAGCCGAGGTGCTCCTCTCGAAGCTGGCAAAGCTCACGACGCTGCGCGAGCAGCACGAGCTGCTTCAACTCGCCGACGGCGAGAGACGCGCGGTCGCTGCGTTGGAAGTCGCCGTTGCTCCGGTCATGATGATGCCTCCGGTGCTCCGATCCCTCCTCAAGGCGATCCAGCGACACTCGGGCACGTCGGGCTTCGACTGCGGGACGTGGGCGCCGGCGCTGGCGCACAGCTTCGACGAGCTCGAGCGCGGCTGCTTCATCTCCGCCTCTCAGGCCGCTGAGCTCATGGCGGCTGTGCTGGCGACGGACCCAAAGCCGCTCTCCGCGTACTGGCACGTCGTCTGCTCGCGCGTGGTGGACAAGTGGAACCTGAACGAGCGCGAGCACTCGCAGGTGTGCTGCTACTACGGCTGGGATGCGCCCTACGCGCTGCGGATCGTCGGCGACACGCCGCTGGACGACAAGATCACGCTGCAGAACAAGGTCGCGGGCTCCGTGGCGGCTCTCTCCCTCTCTCTCTCTCTCTATCCCTCCCTCACTTCGTTGGCACTGCTGCGCTCGTGGCTTCCGGCCAGAACTCGGGAGGACACGTCCTCGGTTGTGCTGCACAAGGGCCGATACGCATCTCCCCACATCTCCCCATATCTCCCCACATCTCCCCACATCTCCCCATATCTCCCCATATCTCCCCATATCTCCCCATATCTCCCCATACCTCCCCGACAGGTGCGCTCACACATGGGGCGGTGTGAACAGCGCCTCTTCACACCGCCTGCTGTGAGCAGGTGCTCTCACACATGGGGCGAGCCGACCACACGACCTACTCGCACTCGCGCAAGCTGCCCGCCTTCGCGGCGCAGATCATCGCAGACAACCTCAAGGCGGGCTCCTCCCCTATGATTGATTAATTAACCAAGTGATTCATTCATCAACGGATGCGGCCTCAACCTCAAGGCGGGCTCCTCGGGCACGCGCGCCGACGTCTGCTGCGTGCGCGCGCGCCCACCCCGCCCACCAGCCCACCCTCCGCCCACCTCCCGCCCACCTTCTGCCCACTCGCCCACCTTCCCGTCCGCCACGGACCTCGAGTCTCGAGGGGGGCGGCAGTAGACGCCCGACCCGACCACCGCCCCGCCCACGCCGGCTTCGGAGTCCAACCCACGCCGGCGCTGCTCCCGCACTCTAGCGAGCCCTTGCACGCCCCGCCGGCGGTGTTGCCTCTCTTCGAAGCGCTCGGCAACTCATGTCCTGTGGCACCGACCGCGCTGCCCGCAGGTCTGCCTCGACGACTGCGCCGACGGGTCGCCCCTCTTTACGTGCTCGAGCTGCAAGAACCGGCTCCACTCCCGCTGCTGCCACTCGTGGGTACTCGCCAAGGAGTGACGCCCCCGCCCGGCCCGGCCGGATCCCCCCCTCTGAACCCGGTGGGGGGGTAGACAGTAGAAAAAAAAAGAGGGGGGGGGGGGGGCTCCGTCGATGGGGGACTGTGTCTATTTGCGGCGGCGGCCCGCGGTGGCGGCGGCCCGCCCATCGCGTTTATTTTGCAATACGTCTACGTCGAGGCATCGTCCCCGACTTGTGCGGCTCCGCCTCAACCTTATGGGTCTCTTGGCTCCCCGAGGCAGCCCTCTCCACACACTATCCAATCAGACGCTCCCCTGCGCCGTCCACTCAGAAGACAGAACAGACATCAGACCCCGCGCCCTGCGCCGTCCACTCACATCCTGAGCTCGAAACCTTCCCGCCCGCTCACCGCATCGTAAATTGCTTTCTGCCCCTCATCACCCAAGCTGTTTGCCCTGAGGTCGATGCTTTTCAGCACCCCGTTGACGCGAAGAGCGGCTGCTAGCGCCTTGGCGCCCTCGTTGCCGATGTTGTTTTCCCAGAGCACGAGGTTGGTCAGCCCCGCATTGCCCCGCAGGTTGGTCAGCACCGCATTGCCCCGCAGAGCCTCGGCGATCGCAGCGGCGCCGGCAGGGCCGATGCTGTTCCACGCGACGTTGAGCTCGGTCATCACCCCGTTGCCGCGCAGCGCCTCGGCGATCGCAGCGGCGCCCTTGGCGCGGATCTGGTTGTAGCCGAGGTTTAGGCTGGTCAAGACCCCGTTGACTGCGAGAGCGCCGCCGATCGCCTTCGCGCCCTCGGGGCCGATGTAATTCCCCCAGAGGCTGAGGTTGGTCAGCACCCCGTTGTCGCGCAGTGCCTCCGCGATCGCAGCGGCGCCCTGGTGACGGATCCTGTTGTTGCCGAGGTCGAGGTGGGTGAGCACCCCGTTGACGCGCAGCGCCTGGCCGATCGCCTTGGCACCCTCGTCGCGGATGCGGTTCTCGCCGAGGGAGAGTGCTTTCAGCACCTCGTTGACGCGAAGAGCGGAGGCCAGCGCAGCGGCGCCCTCGTCGCCGATGTGGTTCCTCGTGAGCACGAGGTTGGTCAGCCCGTTGCCGCGCAGCGCCTCCGCGATCGCAGCGGCGCCCTGGTCACGGATCCTGTTGTTGCCGAGGTCGAGGTGGGTGAGCACCGCGTTGACGCGCAGAGCAGAGGCCAGCGCCTCGGCGCCCGTGTCTTCGATGTCGTTGTAGGAGAGGTCGAGCTCGGTCAGCACCCCGTTGACGGCGAGCGCGTCGGCGATCGCAGCGGCCCCCTCGTCGCGGATGTCGTTCAGTCGGAGATTGAGGGATTTCAGCACCCCGTTGACGCGAAGGGCGTCGGCGATTGCGACGGCACCCTCGTCGCGGATGTCGTTGTAGCCGAGCCTGAGGTTGGTCAGCACCGCGTTGAAGCGCAGCGCCTCGGCGATCGCGGTCGCGCCGGTTGGCCCGATCTTGTTGCCGCCCACGTCCAAGGATGTCAGCACCGCGTTGTCGTGCAGCGCCTCGGCGATGGCGGCCGCGCCCCCATGGTCGATGTTGCAATTGCAGAGGTCGCAGCGCCGCGCATGGCGCGCCTTTGCAGCGCCGCGGCGCGCCTTTGCAGCGCCGCGCTGTTTGCAAAATCCTGCAAAGGTGGGGACGTGTCTGTCCTCGACCCAGCCCTAGCTTGGGATGTCCGTTGTATTTATTTATTTATTAGCAGACAGACTCGCCACATGGTGCGAACTGGTGTCCAGTTCGCATGTGTTGGCGGCCAGTTCGCACCTGTGTCGAGCCTGTCTGCTGTGAGAGAGAGTTCTTTTGTTTAACTTTTTATCCCCGGGCGGGTGTCGGAGGAGGGGATTTCGGACGCCGGCTCTTGTGGCGAGGACGATGGCTTCTAAGGAAGCCGTCGTCTGCGCCTTGTCTGTCGTGTGGATCGTGCGTGTGCGAGAGCCTGTTTTCTTAAATTTTTTTATCCCCAAACTGCCTGGGGCGAGAGCCTCGGCGAGCCTCCGGCGAGACTGCGTCAGCTGTTCCCACAGCAGGCTGGAAGTACCTCGCGCGGGCTAGGGATATCCTACCCGGTACGACTGCGCTGCTGGCGACCGAAGGATGCGGACGATGAACGCCTTTTGCTTGCTGCTCTGCTTCGTGTCGGCCGCCGCGCTCGAGGCGCGCTGGACTCCCGCCGCCGATGGTGGGCCGGCTCGCTTCTCCAAGCGCTACCGCGACGCTGCCGGGATCGACGACTCGAGGTGGACAGAGCCCGACGCTGAGGAGGGTGTCTCCACGTCGACGCTGCTGCTGGCAGGCGCGCTGGTCCTGGCGGGCGCGTATGTGCTGCATCAGGAGCGGCAGAAGCAGGGTGGCAACCGTGTCGGCGGCGGCGCGGCTGCGCCTGCGGGAGGGAGGCGGGCACCCACTCCGGCCGCCGAAGCCGCGCGGAGAGCCTTTCTGGACAAGTTCCAGGCGCCGGGCTCAGTCGCGGCGCCCGAGTCGTGGAATGCGCGGCGATGACGGCGCCTCCGCACCGCCTTGTGGGCGGCGCACTGTGCGATGGATCGCAACGACTCCTTCGTCTCGTTGTCTGTCGAGGGAGGTGTCCTGGAGCGTGGAGGCTGGAGCTGCGTGCTGCGCAGCTGGAGGAGTCAGAGAGCTCGGCCTCGGGTGACGGGGGGCGTGTGAGGTGTAAATAAATAAATAAAACGGACACCTCTACTAGGAGATGGGTAAAAAGGAACAGGTCCCCGCCCTTGCGATCTTTGTGCAGGGTTCTTTGTGGGTGTGGTCGGCGACTAGCCGGGGTCGTCCTCCCGATGGGGGACTAGCACTAGCCGTCTTCCACATGGTCCCTCGTGTGAGGTGTGGCGCACCTCGTAAGTCGATTATATACGCCGCTTTCGCAGATACGGAGCACGAGACGCGCAAACAGATAGCCGCAGCGTGGGCGGTGGAGCGCGCGCAACACAGCTGCACGGAGAACACAGGTCATACAGCGCGCAAGAAGTGCTCTTGGTGCGGCAAACAAAGTGCCGCGCGCCAGGATCCGCCAATCAGAACCCCACAGGAGCGTACACACAAAACACACGCCTCCCAGG